GGGAGAGGGAGAGGGAGAGGGAGAGGGAGAGGGAGAGGGAGAGGGAGAGAGAGAGAGGGAGGGGGAGACGCCTGAGATGGAAGGCGGCCTTTCGTCACCTAATCCTGGAAGCGAACCCTTCCCTTCTGTTGTGCTCTGTGGGACACACGCCCCAGCCCGGCCCAGCGTAGAGGCACACGACACAAGGCAGTGAGTACCGGGGGGCGGTCACTGGGGGTCACCCTGTGAAAACAGGATTTTACTGGGTCCTCTGTTAACAGAAACTCAAGGACATAACAGCAATAGGAACTTTCTTGAATACATATAGTAACAAATATTTCTATCACTTATCCAAGGACAGGACACTTTAGGGAACCTTCATCAATGCAATTCCAGGTGCCCAAAGAATCATCCCTGCTGCCCAGATTGCTGAGGTCCACAAGATAGTAATTAAACTATAAAGTCAATTATAAAACAAATGCAAAGAATCCAGCATAAGGAAACTAAGTTACAGACGTCAAATCTTTTTCTTAGCTGGTCTTTAATGTGGTGTTTTCATCATTTAAAAACAGGTAATAGAACCAGTTTTCCTCGCTAATTATTAAGTAGTGGAGTCATTCAAACAGGTTGAAATATTTATATACTTAAGCAGCATTTTTTTTCTACTTGAAGTTGTAATAGAGAGTTATAGAGAAATACTTCCTGGTATTTACAGTTCAGCAAAGTTCAAATTGACTTTAAAACTCGATTTTTTTCTTGGTAGTTTACAGATGAAACGCGTCGTGATGTCCGAGGGGTGTGTGTATGTGTGTGTGTGTCTGTGAGCACTTTTGCACGTAGGTACACAATCAGAATATGGAGTTTACTCTGGGATTTTCTAGAAAACAATTTTCAAATTTAGTTTGAGAATTTTGGTATCTTGAGATGAGACAAACTTATTCATTATCTGAGAACAAAATTGTTGTAAATCAGAGCACAAATAGTTCTCAAATAATAAATAAATGTATTTTGCTAGTCAGAAATATTTGAAATGCAACTTGTATTTCCTTGAGTTTGTTTTGTGATTAGTCCCATGCAATGTTGCTAGTTTGGCTTGATAATATATTTGAAAAAGACATGTTTTGCCTGGAGAGTAATTTCTGAGGGATATTTATGTATAAGCAGGGACTCGGGGAGGAGCTCATCCTGGCCTTTTTTTCCCATGGACTGGGATTCCTCCTTGGTGAGGATCGATCAGGGCACATGGTGCCACCTGGATTGGGGGTGGAACGTGGGAGAGAATTCTGCAACCCATTAGGCAAAATCATTTTCTCCTTAAAAAAAAAAAAAAAATGAGCCCTTTATATCTGAGAGTACGTGACAGCTTTGAATGCTGCATTAATTCGTGACAATTTTATCTTTCCCTGCTATTAAAATGTGCAAGTTATTAATACTACTTATTTTTTAAAGTTTATATTCATCAGCTACTGAATCACGGCCCATAACCATCTCTATTATTTATGAAAATGTGGTGGAGGGATGAGGAGATGATGTTTTATGACCTTTCCACAAAAATCAGAAAAATACTCTTGAACTATGTTTTAAGGAAAGTTATCATTGACTTGCAAGTGCTTTAATTTTTAATTCAAAGAGTTCAGGCTGCTGAGCTCTTCCCCAAACACCATTAGACTCAAGAGCACGAAGAGGTCAGAATGTCTGGGATCACCTCCTTCCGAGCAGTGGAAGTCAGTACTTCTGAAAGCAGCCAGAACGTGATGAACGTAACTGACCCCTTCCCAACAGTGAGAGCTGGCAAGTAGTCGAGTCAGATTCGTCATGTATCTGAGACAGTGTCACTTACCATGATTTGACTGAGGCCAGTAGCAAAAGCAGGTAAAGACAGTAAGATATTCCGTGTCCTGTAAGCAGACTCAGGAATAATGTGAGTGGCCCATCATTTGTATTTATTTCCCTTTATAAAATCAAATGTCAGATATAAAACAGAACTTTTCCAGAAAGCTTTTCTTTTCTTTGTAATTGACTAAAGCTTTTGCTTTTTGTTAAGTAGGGTTCGGGGACACTGGAGCCTGAGGATGCTGGTTAAAAGCCCAGAGGTTAGGACAGGAATGGTTCTAGAGGTGCCCTCGCTGGGATGCTCAGGCCACTAAGGACAACATCACGCCTAGATTTAGCCCCTTGGTTTAGTGGGAGGAAATGGTTTCTCCAATAACAGGAACCAATATCCTGCTCGCCTCTGAGCAGTGGCTACATTAACAGCATCTTTGAATTCAAATATGTGATCCTGAAAGGCCATTATTATTTTTTTAGTTTTATTTATCCTAAAACAGACCTGTGAACTCTCTATTTATTCCTTTAGCGGGTCATTTATTTATCATTCAGAAAATCTTCACTATGATATAGTAGATATATTTAAGGCTACAAGCTCAGTACTCCGAGAATGGTTTTATGCTCATTCCTAAGCACATATTACAGGACCCATATTATAGGGCCGTTGCACCATATTTTGTTTGGACTTCCGTTTTTCTGTTTGCTAAAATTTAATTTGGCCTGCCCTTCCCCCGCTTGTAATGATAATGCAGTTTTATCTTCCCGACATTGTGTATAAACACAAGAAAGTAGAGAAAGGACTACTAGGGGCATAGAAACTAAGAAGAAAGTCGTTTGGTTTCCCGTGTGAAAAAGGAGGACGTCTTACATGGGGTGTGACATTCTGTTTACTTTGCTTCATTTCATGTTCTCATGTCTCCTGCCCCCTCCCCGTAGACGGCTTGATGGCATCTCGTCAGCGCTGAGAGTCTGGCCCTCGGCCCGGTTATTTCGGGGAGTCGATCGCGGCTTTGGCCCTCGCACCTCGGGCGGGTCGTGCCAAGTCCGCGCGCCGCCTGGGCTGCACCCTGGCCCCTGGGCCCTCCTGGCCGCTGCCTCTCTGCGCCCCCCCCCCGGCCCGGCCCGGCCCCAGGGGGAGCCGCTAGCTCAGGACCCCAGGTCCCCCGGTTCCCCGCAGCTCAGCTGACGCCTCTCCTCGGGCCCGGGTGCTGAAAGGGCAGATCCCTGCGGCCGGAGGTGCCCTGAGCGAAAGGCCTGCGCGCTGCTAACTCTAACCTGGTTTTTCCCTCTTTCGTTTCCGTTTTTTTCCTAAAAATGGTACCTAGTTTTCTTAATTTCTTCCCCTTGGAGGGGAAGAGTAGCTTTAAAATCAGGCAAGGACTCGGGATCCCTCAGCATACCCAGAACGTCTGATACGATGCCTCTCTTTATTTTTCAGTCAGTTTGCTCCCAGGAAAGCCTTTTTGTGGAAAACAGGTAAAATGAAATTTGCTTTTTCGTGTGTCGTTAGAGGAACAAAGTGTGTCATGTGTGTCCTGTATATTCATAGATAAATACCATATATAAGTGTGTGCTTGAATATATGTATAAAGAAATACATATATCTATGCGTACACACCTATATATGCACACGTATGTGTTATTTAGCATGTCCAAAAGTTATTTCACTGAGGGAAAAACTCCTCTCAGTTACTTCCAAACATGAGTTTCAATGTCTCCGATATTTAAAGTCTCAGCTTCTGGTCCTTCCAACAGTTGTAATTTGCTATTATTTCCTCCAGGCATTGAAGAGTTTAAGTGTTGAGACCCCACAGGAACTTGCAGTTTCATTGGCTTATTGACTAGGCCGCTAAAAGCACTTGTATATTTGGTACTGTTAACCACTTCCTGTGCCCTGTGATTATCTATAGCTATACAAATAATAACTAGAATAATGTTGCTTTAAGTTTCTCATTCTGAATAACGCACCAGTTTCTATAAAAGGCCTAACTTGGAAATCTTATCTAACTGGTCTGGATTTAGCAGTACACCTGACTTGGGAGTTAGGAGGAGGATGTGCTTGCTGTGAAATGAATGAGTTATAAAATTCATACAAAGTCTTGAGCATAAGAGCAGAAATTTTTCAAGTTTAGCATGTACCTTTTTAATTTTTATTCTTTTTAATTTATCTTTATTGTTGAAAGTATGACAGATGTCCCCTCTTTTCCCCCATTCATCCCCTCCACCCAGCATCCGCCTCACCCCCAGCCTTCCCCACACTATCGTCTGTGCCCCTGGGTTGTGCATATAAGCATGCAAGGTCTTTGATTAACCCCTCCCCAC